GAAATGGTACCTAGGAATGGGGGCTTATCTGGCTGGCTGGCACTTCCCAGCTGCAAAATAAAAAGGCTGCTCATAACAGACAATGTGAAGATTATTACCCACCCATTATTACCTGTCTCACTTATTACCTCCTCATAGGTGTTTTTTTTTTGGGGGGGGGGGGGGGTTCATAAGGGAAGAGAACTGAAATCTCGCCCCCCACAGCCATGACAGTCGCTGCGGAGGGTCCTCAGTGGAGGCCAGAGCCAGGCCCGCCTCCCCTTCCCTGCTGACAAACCCGGCCCCCCACTCACCCAGCCTCGGAAGACTCTGCGCCCCCTCAGCCTGAACCACCAACTCTTCTCCTCTGCCCAACCGGAAGTCCCGACGCTCAGAAGACACCTCACTTCCGCCCCGGGGCGTACCAAGCGCGTCGGTCGGCCCCTTTTATTTTTATTATCTTTCTCTCCCGCTTCTTTTCCTCTTTCTTTGGATTTCCTGGAAGCGTCTCGAAAGGATGGTTTCTAACAAAATCCTTCTGAACTGCTCCCAGTTTGCCTTCTCTTCGCCTTCTCCACCCTCTCTAGAGCTTGCTAATGGTACGGCCCATACAGGCTCCCGAGGTGTTGTCCTCCCGAGCTGGACAGGGAAAAAGAGGGTCCCGTGGCTCCCGCTGATTGGCCCAAAGTCTGGCCTCTCCTCCAATGGGAAAATGGTTGCCGAAGTTAGGGCGACTGGGACAAAATAACTGTTGCTATGCGAAGAAGGGGAGCTAGGAAGGCGGCGGGAGAAGGATGGGGTTCTGAGTTCGAATTTGCATGGGATATGCGCACGCGCCGACGCGTCGTTCTTTCTGCAGTTTTCTTTTACGCTGGAGTAGGGACGTTACTCAGGAGAGAAGCGAGCCCAGTTACAAAAACAATGCAACAACAACATGCTTAAGTCAGCACTGATTTCCATCTTCATCGCAGTGTTGATATCTATTTGCAAATAAATTGCATTCTGGAACATAGAACCATAAGGCTGGAAGGGACCTCAGAGGTCTTCTAGTTCAACCCCCTGCTCAGGGCAGTAGAGAATAGAATAGAATAGAATAAGAATGAATAGAATAGAATAGAATAGAATAGAATAAGAATGAATAGAATAAATAGAATAGAATAGAATAACAAATAGAATAAGGAATAGAATAGAACAGAAAGAATAGAATAGAATAGAATAGAATAGAATAGAATAGAATAGAATAGAATAGAATAGAATAGAATAGAATAGAATAAGAATGAATAGAATCAAATAGAATCAAATAGAAGCTGGAAGGGACCTTGGAGGTCTTCTAGTCCAGCCCCCTGCTCCAGCAGGAGAATATACCATCTCAGAGAGATGCTTAAACAAGTCCAGTCAAATGGTTGTCCTGTTTCTGAAACCCTCCACCTATCTCCATCCACAACAGGAACATTTAAAATAAATAAATAAACAAACAAGATGCATTTAATAAATAAAACCACGGAATGCTCGGTGCTGTCTGGGTTATTGGCTTGCACGCGTTTCATTACCCCACTAGGGAAACATTACCAGAGGCTCCAAAAGTCTTAGACTGTCTACTATTGACCTCACCCCTTTCCTAAGAGGTCTGTAGGGGGCGTGCATAAGCGCACCAATGTGCCTACCGTCCCTGTCCTATTGTTTCTTTTATTTTTCTTATATGTATCCATGTATTCATAACTATGTTTTTACTTATACCTATTATCTTGTAAGCAATTGACAAATTAAAAAAAATAAAAATAAAAAAATATATATCAAAGTTTAAGTGTTATTGCTATTAAGAAAAACATTACAAGCTCTCCCAGCTTGGCAAGCGAACCTCTCTTAAAACGAAGCCCAATTTGGCATTTAAAAAAAAAAAAAAACCACTTTAAAAACTTCTAAAAAAAATACCCAGCAAAGCAGCATTTGCGTCAGCAATGCTTGATTGACAGCTCGCCCGAAACACGGGGAAGGGAGGGAAGCAGGGAGGGGGGATGAATTGTAAGGAGACTTATCCGAATTATCCCCGCCTTCTCTTAGCAGGGATTGGTGGAAGTCGAGCCTATAAACGGTAGCGCTGAGGAGAAAAGTGGGCGAGGCTAGCGGTGCTTTTCGAGCCGCCCCCTTTCCTTCTGTTCTTTGGGTGGTTGTCGCTGTGCTCAGGTGGGGGGGGGGGTGAAGGGGGGGTGAAGGGGGGGTAAAAAGGGCGGGAAATTTTTGGCGGGAAATGGTGTGGTGGGGAATGGTGGAAGAAGAAGCGGGGCCATTTTTTTCCCCTCCTTCTATTGATGCCTTTCACGCTCTCCACAGAGACTGCCATTAATCATTGCTCTTTTTACATGAAAAACCCCTGGTTGAATACGCCCATTCCCATTTGAGGGTGTGTGTTTGTGTGTGCGCAACTGGAGCTCAATTTAACCCAGGAATCAGAGCAAAATAAGACATCTTTGGGGAGGGGGTTTTTTCCTCCCCATAAACTCTGCAGTCCTGTCAGGATGGCAACAAAAGCAGTCCCCAGAGGAAATGTACTTGCTGTGGGTTATTCAAAAGGGGAGAAATGCAACTCAAAGGATGTTTTTTAACTAGGAGGAATTCAAGTGGTGTTTTTTTTTTAAAGGAGCTAGTCCATTTAAAAAAAAAGGAAGAGGAGGAAAATTGGCAGGAATGCAGTTTGGGGCAGGTTTGAGGATTATCTCATTGATCGATAATCTCAGTCCTGACAGATTTAGTGTTTGGAAATAGTATGAAAATATATCTTTAAAAATGACTATGCAATACTTAATTCATATCTGCTGGTGTTAGAAATGAGGTGTTAAGCAAAATGTAGTTATTAATTGGGAATAACGTCAGATGAGTCCTGCTTGGGCCATTTAACCCCAAGCATAAAACACTTCTGTGTTGTTTTTTGTAGCTAACTATTTGCTGTGTTTTATGGGATCCCTTCTTGAATTCTAATTTGCGTGATAAAAAATATCTAATTGAACTTACAAAATTACAAATCTGTTCTCTTTATTTCCACCAGACAGCATGTTAAGGGCAACAATCAGATGGGATTTTAAAGTTTATCATTCAAAACAAACTTGGGCCTGTTTTTGAATACTGTATTGTCCATGTGCATTGAGTTATGAAATAGGAATAATATTCCTCTTTCCTAGGTAATCTATAATATGCTTAGATTAGCATTAGCCCATAAAGTTAACCATTGTGGTTAAGTCATGGTTTGTAACTAGAGTGTTTGGTAAAGCCAGTTGAATAATTTATACCACAATTGGGACAAATCGTTGCTTAGTACAGTGTATGTCCTTTTTGTTTGTTTAAATTTCTATACTGCCCATTTCACTTAAGTGTCTTGGGAGTTTACCCAAAATATATGTACACAACATACAAGGCTTTCCTTGTCTCCCTTTGGGTGAAAGTGGATAGTAGAGTTAATTGAGCACTAATATTAAGCTGTGGTTGTACAAACTCAGAATAGCTGCAACATTGCTTTTGAGTCTTGAAATCTCCTTAAATCAGCTTTTTAAATAAAGTGTTGCTTTTATTGCAGACAGAACTTTGACCACTGACCAATAACGAAATGAACAATACAAAACTATCCCCTAACAACAAGAACTATTAGCAATAATTTGTGGGCAAACTTACACACTCTATAGAGACCTTTGTCATCAGTTGATTGCCTGTTTTATTTAAATTATCTGCATTGTTTAATAAACAAGATAAATTTCTGTAGAAGTAGCAAAATGTTTCTACTTCTACAGAAATATATCTTGTTTATTAAACAATGCAGATAATTTAAATAAAACAGGCAATCAACTGATGACAAAGGTCTCTATAGAGTTGGCAATAGAGAAGAATATGGGCTGTAGTTGCTAATAGTTTTTGTTGTTAGGGGGACAGTTTTGTGTTGCTCGTTTTACTGAGTGCATTTTTATTGGTTAAAGACCAAACTTTTTAAACTGCATTTAATTGCATTTCGGTATACTGTAGAATTCTGTTTTGCACCACCCAATGCTTGGTGTACAGTATTGTGTCTTTTTAGCAATATATACATCTTGTGTTAAGCAAATAGTTGTCAACATGTAAGTGGCTGTTTTGAGATTTTCCCATTTCTTCTGGTGTGGGCACTGAGAAACAAAATAGGTAAATCTGATGTTAGAAATTGGAGTGTAATATATAATGCTAGTCGAGTCTTGAAGGAGTTTAATGTGTTGGGAAGAAAAGTTTCTTAAAAACTAATATTTAATGTGGCGGCTTTAAATTTGACGCATGAATGTGTTTCCCCCTCCCAGGAAGGCCATTTTGAGGCCTCTACTATCAACCACTTCAAAGAAAAATGCGAGACAGTCATAGTACTTGTGTTCCTCCTACAGTCACTGCTGTAGTGAAGCCAGGGTGTACACGACAACGCAACACGCAGGGTGCTTTGGTTACTGGTGGTTCTACACAGGGGCTTGAGAAGGAACTTTCCACGACAACTTTGAAAATTTCGCAGCAGCCATTTTTCCTGCTACACAGAGAAGAACAAGAAGCATTCTTCAAGCTCCTAGGTCCAGTAGTTGTATCTACTTGTGCTGGGATTCAGCCCTCCTTGGGACAGAGATGGACAGCATTCAAAGCACAGCTAGCCTGCAAAGCTACCACAACTAGCCTGCCTTTGACTTAATTGATAGCACAAAGTTTAACCATTGTGCCTTTTGTCCAATTTTCTGTATTGGCAGCACAGTGCCTGATAGATTGCAAACCCTTGTCTTCAAATCTCTCTTCCCCACCAATTGAAAAAGAAATGCAATCACACTCTCTCACTTAAATGTGATGGGATTGAATGGAAGGACAGTCAGATCATTCATTAAAATCACATGATTTCTAGCAGTGGTGGGATTCAAAATTTTTTTACTACCGGTTCTGTGGGCTTGGCTTGGTGGGCGTGGCAGGGGAAGGATACTGCAAAATCCCCATTCCCTCCCCACCCCACTAACCTGCTTTCCAGCTCCGTTCTCCTGTGCAGGGCAACCAAAGAAGGCCCAGCCGGGAGGCAGAGAAGAGATGGGGTTGGCGGGGCCAGTCAGAGGTGGGATTTGCCGGTTCTCTGAACTACTCAAAATTTCCGCTATCGGTTCTCCAGAACTGATCAGAACCTGTTGAATACCACCTCTGGTTTCTAGGATCCAAAATGATTGCTGTCCAACCTCTGGTTTATGGCCTTGTGCCATGTGTTTTTCAGTAAATCACGGATTAGCTGATTTAAGATGTCTTCTGCACTTCAGAACAGCAAAATGTTTGGTTTTAAGTCGATTAGGGAATTATTATTATTTTTTAGAATAGGTAGCTTTGGGATAATATTGCTAAAAGCTATGTCTGGGAAAGTTTATGTGAAATTAACAAAAAAATAAGCTTAATT